GTATGTATGTATGTATAGAGCTATCCACCCGCCAACTGACCACCAATTTGCACGGCAACGCAACTGATTTGTATTTTTGTAGCTACACACATACCAACACACACACACATGTAGCTGAAACAAATATCTAAATAACAAATGAATTTTGCTTAATATTTGTTTGTACTAACTTAAACTGTGTTTTTTGTTTTTATTTTCGTAATTTGTTTGCTGCTAAACTATTTTAATTAATATTTTTATTCACAACTGAAATTTTTACTTGTTTTCTGGTTAGTTATCTTCTAATGAAGCACGTAATAAGTGTTCTTTGGCTTTTGGCATATTTTATTTGTTTTTGTTTAATTTTTTTCTTTTGAATATTGTTTTTTGAAATTTTAAAATTTTTTCTAAATATTTAATGTTTATTTTTTCAAAACTTTTAATTTTATTATTATAAATGGCAAAAGAAAACATATTAAGCAATTAGGGTATTTGTTTATAAATATTTTATTTCAACTTTTCGTTCGTGAGCGTTGAACCAAACATTATTACTGATTCCTATGCGTTTTAATGGTAACTAAGTGAGCAGTGAAGTGACAGCTGTTGTTGTTAAACATGAGTTGTTTTTGTTGTACCTAGTGCGATTGACTTCCTTGGTAGTCTTACTGTGCCGTAGTTATCCACACCGCTTTTAATTTATTATTATTTTTATTGATTTCAATGCTGGATGATCTGTACTCCTTGGAAGAAGCTATGCCGATCGGGATTTGTCAATCCCAGTGTTGCAATCGGGCAACTGACAACTTTATCGTAAAGTTTGACATTTCTGATGTTCTACATACTCAGAATGTTTTGACAAACGAGCGCGATTACTTTTTACAACAGCTGACGTTCATTAACTCATCAACAAAGCATTATTTAATGCCTGGCGTTGAAGCTACATGAAGCGCGAATGTTTATCGATTTTATGGTGACTTCAATCGAGATCTTAGATCACTTCAAACGAGTTTCGAAAGGTCGTTAAGAATCAGTTGTTGTTCTGGAAACTATTGATGCTGTGCGCAAACCGATATTGCAACATCGTCATGTTGCCCCATAGGCATTAGTGGAACCAGCACACATTAAATTTTGCACGAATACTTAACTGTAAAAAAAAATTCTTCAGTTTTGATTCCGTGCAATTTGTCAAACACTTTAAAAAAGGCTTGTGTCGATTGGTCGATATACGATTGCGATACTTCAAAATACGTCTATGGGATCGTGACAAGTGATAAGGATCGTGGATTTATGAATTGTAAATAGCAGTTGGCTGTATGGGTGTTTAAAGACGAGTCGAATCTAACAAAAGTTATTCGCACACGCAGCACGTCCAAGCATTATGCATGTTTTTCGAAAAAACTGGGCATGTCACTACCGTACCACCAGAAATATGTAGAAAAATAAATTCTGGATGGTACATAACCATTTGTTTGCCAGTTGCCTACCAAGAAATGAGGAAAACAACTCTTTGTGATGACAATCTGAGTCTCCAATTGTATTTTTGAGTGCCCAAAAAATCCACATATTGAATGAGTCATCCATCGTAAAGTCGTGACGTGGCACCGAATGACTTTTTTGTTTCCGTACTTAAATAATAAAAGTTTTTCGTTAACTGAAGAGACGTTTAATGCGTACCGAACGTATGATCGCTGAAAAGTACATTCGTTCAACGAACGTCTGTCACAATCCATCTCAAAGTGAAACTCTGCAACATATCGTTGATTTGCATCCCGCCGAAAAAAAGCTTCCATAAAGCAGCATCCCCAAATGAGTTGAGACTGATTGCTTTCACCATGTTCCGAGATATTGTTATCTCCGATGACATGTTATGCTCTGGATGTACGTACGCTCCGAGGACCTAATGTCGACGCGGAGCCAAGATACTCAACCGCCTCCGTATTTTAAACCTGTAAACAAATACAAAGTAAGTTTAACGTCGTTAAGCTGTACTCACAATAGACAGCCGAATAAGTTTCTGCGCGACTTGCACACCTGCTATCTGAGTGCAGTAATCAGCAACTCGATATTAGGGAACTGGTTTCCGGCAGTGCCAGAAAAAGAGCGGGTTCAACTGCAGTGGAGAGAAAACAGGCTGCCTACCGCGCAATCTTTGCGATCGACCACAATACGTGCGGTGTGAGATAGTTACCCAGAAATGAAGAGGAAAACAACACGCATATGCAGACAAACAAGAAAGAGGCTGAATTGCGTAAGCACGAGGAGCTTAAAAAGCTAACCGACAAGAGTTATGCTCAATAAGTCTACGAAAAGATTGTGGCAACTTACAGCAGGTTTCGAGGCCGCAGCAAACACTTGCAGAGCAACCCAGACGAACCCAGAGTAAACTAGATAAATTAATGAATTAGGAAAGCCTCTCCAACCTGCTGAATGATAGTAAAAATGGAATACCAGGAGATGGCCAGCCAAACTTCGCAATAGATCACGATTCGAATAGCAAATGCTTGGCTGAATAATTAAGGAGCCGATGTGTTTTCGGTATTAAAATTTGGTAGCGAAGAACTCACGAGGTACCCATTAGTTTCTTTGCAGAATATGGTCGAATGAAAGTATGGCGGACGATTTGGAGCCTTAGAGTGCACTGCCCAATTCACAAAAAGATGTACCCCACAGTTTGTGCTAATTAATTAAGGATAAGTCTCCTCAATATCGCATATAAGGTATTTTTAAGATTGTAAACAAACAGATTGCATTTGCTCAACTTGACTTTAGACCCGGTAAATTCGGCATTGACCAGATACTTACCATGCCCCAAATCAAATTTTAGTGAGAAAAATGTATCGACACATATCACATCTTCGTCGATTTAAAAGCAGCTTCGAGCAGCAGTTCGAGCAACAGAGCTGAATAGAGAAGGTAAAATCTTCTATATTGTCCTCAACAACCACGGCCGTGAGTTCTGCTTTCTTCAGACTCGATGAGGAAGCGAGGCGTATGGGTCTCAGAGTAGACGAGTCTGGAAATCTAGCGCACAATCACTTTTGCCAAAAGGTGCTACATTGGACTGCATGAGAAATTGAAAAGTAAAGTCTCAACTCGACAGACAAAGACCAAACACTAGAACGCTCATCGTTCCCGTGTGGGGGCATGAACGATGACTACTACCGATGAGTTGGATTTATGGTCCTTGCAAATGGGCATGGCCACAGCCGAAGGAAGGATGAGCCGTTCGAGTTATATGGTAACAATGACAAAGTTTAGGGAATCAAGAGACATCGGCTACGCGGTGAGGAAGAACCTGGCAGCGCTAATTGGCAACAAAGAGAGAAAGGAAAAAAGGAATGATGTACTAGTGTTGAGCAATGTTGACGTCAGTAAAGAAGAAGAACGATATATAAATATTATATTAAATTTCTACGAAATTCGCATATTTGAGCGATGAATTGCAATTTTTTATTTTGATTCCATAACCTTGAACTTTCAATCATTCCGATGTCCTTGCAAGCACCAATAAATACACACAATCAATTCGCATTGGGTCACATTGTCAACAGCATGAAAGACATTTCTAAAATATTTCGTCTCTTGTTCTTGTTCCACGCGAAATTCCTAATCGAACAATCACTTCCGCACGCGCGCACTACCGCCCCCGTAAATTATACCGTTAAATTATTACATTAGCCAAAGATCAACAGTCAGCAGCTCCGTGGATATCTAGTATATTTATGTGGTCATATGTATGTGTGTGTATATGTTTGTATGTATGTACATATAAAAATTGTGTGCGAATAAAATTTATACTAGACGGAAAATTAAATCTTTTTTGATCTCCAAAAAGATTACGCTAACGGTATTCGCGCATGGTTATACATATGTATATCTATGTATGCGTGTATTCGCCGTGATCATCAACAATAAAAACAACAGTACAAACAACACGTTATTGAAGCGTGGCCCAAGTGAATAAAATGAAATGGAAAAAAAGAAAAAAAAAAGGAAAAAAGGCATTTGATGATGAACAGTAGCCGCAAAAATTCCAAACCACACATATAAAAAAAAAATAGTAAAATAAAAAAAATTAAAATTTAATTTAAATAAAAAAAAGAAAAAGGAACTCCTACACACACATAAACAACCGCATAGATATTGCCGAGTTTTTCTGTTTTTGTTTTTTTTTTTTGCTTTTGGCCAACCAAATATTCGCACTCAAAAATGAATGATCCGACATTTGGTCGTGGCTGCAGTACGACTTAATATGGATTGGAGGGGGCCACGAAGCGTTGGGTGACTAAGTGGGCAGATAGCAAGCTGACTAGATAGCTACATACATATTTACATATTTCGGTGAATAAATGGATAGATGATTTGGCAAATTTGGACGCCAAAGGTGGCTTGCAAAGGATGTAGAGGCGTGCAAGCGGTGAATGTGCCAGTCAGTGGAGCAGTAGCACTGCAGTCTCTCCGCCAACGCCATCCACCCGCACTGACGTTGACGATGAACTGTTGCTGCTGCCATTGCTGGCAAATGAGTGTCGGTGGAAAATGACAGGCAGGGTGATGAGGCTATTATATTCATGTGTCGTTGGTGGTGTTGTTGCCACTGAAGTACCTTCGAGTACATGTGAAAATGTATATACATATATATATATATATATGTATAAGTACCAGTACGTGTATGTGTGTCGAGTTTAGTTTATGTAGATGTAGTTGCTCATACTTTGTCGAGTTGCCGAGTCGTGGAGACCATCATGCACACACCACATATACATACACACGTAGATAGATGGATGGCTAGATGGATAGATTTTTGTTAGCTACTCAGTGGTATACACTATATTTGTTGTGTGTGTGCGCGTGTTCTTATACATACATATAATATATGAATTTTCCGTTATACAGTAGTGCTAACTATGCGCTTCTACATAGTAGCACTTCTAGCACACATACATAGCCAATCGGCGATCACCTACAAGCATACTTACATACATACATACGCATAATGTTATAAATATTGATTTTGCACATTTAATGTTTTAGTTTATCAACGAATCTCAACCACCGTGGAAGTGCGAAAGTGGTAAAAAAAAGATCAGCGCCGACGCGAACGGAGAACGGAGATTATCGAGTCGAGACGAGACGTGTGTGGTTTTAGCTTGTTGGGTGACAAAGATCATATAACCAGCCAAAATGGTAATTAGTGTGTGAAGAAGAGTGTGTATTAAAAAAAAAAATAAAACAAAGTTTTAAAAATACATATTCAAAGTAATTAAATCTTCAAATAAATATTAAAATTTAACAAAAATATGAAATTTCAAATTCACTGGAGCTATTTTTTTAACTGAAAACTGCTGGAACTTTTCGCATTAAAAAAATTAAAAAAAATGTAAAATCCGTAAAGCAATTAAAGTGATACTTCAACGCAATTCCTAGTGCAACACTGCGTATACGTAACTGTTTTGTACATTATTTGTACCTCAAATACTAGGATTTTAATTTTCTATAGATCAAAGTGTTTTATTTTCATCTATGTTTCGTGCCTTATTTAGAGCGAAAATTCTCCACACTAAGTAGAATAGTCTCAGTTAATTTTTGTATTACATAACACGTCACTTAATTCTTTGCTGGCATAATAAGCATAATAAAATAGAGAGTTTGAGATCAGAGAAGAATTACATTTTTTTGTGAATGCACGCCAATTATGTTATATCCGCCATATATATACTTGCCCTTCGGCTTTAAAAATCACCAATTCCATAAGTTTTATTCTTAATTATTATTAAAATGTTTTCGAAACGGTCCTTCAGCCGTTTAAATACGGCCTTAAAATGGGAGGAGAAGGTCTACGAGTATATAGAATCGCCTAAGTGGTTAATAAGTAATAGTTGTTTATAATTTATTAAGTTATAATTATTTACTAAATTTTCTCTAAATTAATTGGCCCAGGCAAATGCCTATTTTCGACAAAAAAAAATATGTTTGATATCTGTTTGAGCGAATCCTCCAAATAATTCATATGATAAATCGATCACGATGTTTCGTAGAGTTATTCTAAATGTTAAGGATAACAAATAAAATAATATAAAACAAAATAATATAAAATAAAATAAAATAAAATAAAATAAAATAAAATAAAATAAAATAAAATAAATAAAAAGGACATCAAAAATAATATTAATAAAAATTAAAATAAAATGAAATAATATAAAATAAAACAAAATAATATAAAATATGATAAACAAAAAAATAAATGAAATAAAAAATGAAATATAAAAATTAAATAAATAAAATAAAATAAAATATAATTATATAAAAAAAAAAAATATTTTCTTAAAATACAAAATAAAATTAAATAGAAAATAAAAACTGTATACCGAACTAAAATAAAAATAAAAAATAATTCATTATCAACAAATAAATGAAATAAAAAATAAAACATGAAAACAAATATAAATAAAAAGGAATTAAAAAATGAGATAAAAACATAAATAAAATAAATAATAAAATAAAATAATATATAATAATGTAAAATCAAAAAAAAAAAACAAAAATTATTTTCTTATGTATATAAAAAAAAATTAAATAGAAAAATAAAAATTAATAAAAAACTAAAAATAAAAACAAGACATAATGAACTCTACATAAATAAATAATTTATAATAGAAACAAAACAAAATAAAATATATTTGAATTCAATAAAATGAAGCGAAATAAATTTAAAAAAGAAAATAAAAAAATAAAAATGAAAAAACAAAAAATATTAATAAATAAAAAAATAGAAAGAAACTAAAACAGAGAAACAAAAATTAATATAAAACTAAAAATAAAATAAAAATTTTAAATACGCAATTAATCAAGCGAAATAAAAAAAATTTAAACGAATCGAAAAATATAAAATACAATTATTAAAAAAAAATCATATGCATGCATTCGAGAAGTCCATGAATCTTGCTATTTAGGCAGTATTATCACACGAATTGGTGGGTCAGCAGCTGATATGCGTTAACAAAAATCCAAAGGATATGTTAGCTTCGTAGTTTCTAGATCGCCACACATATATATCTAGGCTTACAAAGCTTAGAATATTCGATTCAAGCGTGAAATCTGTTGTCTTACGAGTAGAGTATATGGGGCGAGACATGGAATCTTGTCAGTAGTGTTTTGTTCTTTCTTAACCGACATCTTCGAAAGATTATGCGAGTATTCCAGCCCGAGGTTATTAACAACTATCGAAGCTCGACGCTGGATCAGTTGATCTGTCACACTCTACGAAAACCTCACGACGGCATCACTACACAGTGCTATACTGGAATTCACAAGAAAGTCGAAGAGGCGGGAGATCAGCCAACACATGGAGATGGAAAGTCGAAACAGAAACACAGAAAAGCGTCTATTATTTGCGAGAAATCAAATTCAAATTAAATAACTGAAATTATAATTTGCCTTTTGAGACGCTATGTTTCACCTAAAAAATTATAATGAGAAATAAATAATATGTACCGGTATAAAATAAATCAGATTTAATTAAAAAAAAAATGAATATAATAAAAAAAAACAATAACATATAAAATAAAATAAAATTCTGAAATATTTAGATTCGACAATGTACAGCAAAAAAAAAAAATATATATTATATTTGTATGAACTTTGGCTCCTCCAACTGTCTATTATTTAGTCGATTTGGGTTTTATATTCTTGCCGAATTCAATGATATTTGATCTTTGTTGAGATGTTCCCAAAAAAATTTGTTTATACCATTTGTAGAGCTGACGACAACTTGAAATATTCGTATTCGTGAAAAGGTGGACTTGAACTTTTAATTTTTTGGAGCATTCCAGCTACATGACAATTTTCGTGAATAATTCTTCAGAAACTCTCAACTTCTAACTCCTTTTGAGCATTCCACATAAAATTGGTTAATCACTACCCATGCAGTCTTATTTTCTATCGTAGACTAAAGAATACTGTATCTTAATCACACTGGGTCGAATGAATTCAGGAATAATATCATCGAGCAATAAAATGAAAACGACAACTATTTTTCATACTCAACCCCCATCGCTTCCAAACATAATTACTTAATTTTCAACTTAATTAATGCGATCCAGGTAGTTTATTCAAATACTTCAAATTCAAGAAAAAAGTCATTACATCTAGGTGGAATCTAAGGATAAACACAGAGAAGTCTTTAAGTCATTCCACTTTCCATTTCAGTTAATATGGAAATATATTTTGTCGAGTAGAAGAGATTTTGCCTAAATATCTAATCCAATGAAAATAAAACAAAAATTTCTTAAATTTTCTTTTACTAATATTTGTCTACCTTTTCTTTATTTTGTTTCATTTCATCAGGAGGATGATGAGAAAATGGACATTATGCGTAAAGCATTCCAAATGTTTGACACCCAAAAGACCGGTTTCATTGAAACACTCCGCCTCAAGACGATACTCAATAGTATGGGTCAAATGTTCGATGAGAGCGAATTGCAAGATCTCGTCGATGAAAATGATCCCGAGGATACTGGCAAAGTGAATTTCGATGGTTTCTGTAATATTGCTGCACATTTTCTTGAAGAAGAGGATACCGAAGCTATACAAAAAGAATTGAAAGAAGCTTTCCGTTTGTACGATCGTGAAGGTAACGGTTATATTACCACATCGACATTGAAGGAAATTCTCTCCGCATTGGATGATAAACTCTCATCAAGTGATTTGGATGGTATTATTGCGGAAATCGATACTGACGGTTCGGGCACAGTAGATTTTGATGGTGAGTGTTGTTTGAAATCATGTTAATTTGTTAATTAAATTCAATGAATTTCTGTTAAGTTTGATATTTCGCTACATTGCCCCGCATTAAAATTTTTCTTAGGCAACTCTAATGCTTTCTAATATTTGAATTATACATTTTGAAATATCTCTTTAGGTTTATTATATGCAAATTATTTCAAACTTCGGAATCCAAAGCAAATAGGTTGTTTCACCATACCTTTTACAAGGCTTATTGAAGAACCGATAATAATTTTGAGGTTATGTTTTCTGTTTATACCAAAATTCCATTTTATCAAAACTTTTCATATGAAAAATCGTTAGATATCTTATCACATTTTGATATTTCATGGTTGTTTAAATCTCTCCTTTTATAATTTTTTTTCCAATTTTGTTATTATTATTTTTTAAAAATTTTTTAAATTTAATTTTTTATTAGTCTAATTTTTATTGGGCATACCGAATTAATTTGGTCCATTCTTTTGTGTTCAAAAAGTGTTTTTTATTGAAAAAAGTTAAAAATTCACCATTAAAAGTAACAACTAGATTTTTCCACATCTCAGTTAATTTTCGATTACCAGCTTTCCTCTTCTATCCACTCTGTTCTCGATCCAAACATTGAGCCATTCTTCTATTTCTTCAAAGACCTTCAAATCGTTTTGCATCTGTCGAAAAACTCTGTAGTCGGAAGAATAAGCAGGTTTAGAGAATACGGCGGGTCTCCCATTTCAGCGTTACCAGGTAGTTTTACCGCTACAACCACTTAGGCCCGAGTGTTGTCGTGCCTCTCGGTACTTTCTGATCGCTTTTTTATGCAACGCACAGCTCAACGCATTAGTTGAAGTCGATAAAGTTTCGTATCAATGGCTTCGTCTGATTGGCACGTGTTCTCAACTTCAAACTTTTTGTGTTGGTCAGGATACTGGCTCCTAGTTTTCGAAACTAAAATCACCACCAAAGCAAGACTTATTGATTGGGTCAGATTCTCTGTTAACTTTCACAAGCATTCAATGGACTTCAGCTGCACTTTTCTTCCAATGAAAACAGAAAATCATGACTTTCTGCAAATGCTGAAGAGGCAAAGCCTGGTACGACTAACGTACAAAAAAAAAAAATAATTATATAAAATTTATAAAAAAAAAATTAAGTTAAATTTCCTAATTGCTCTGAGTGAGACATTAAATAAAGGCTCCACATAAAAAACCATGAGCCCTTCGGTGGGGTCTCAGAATAAACTGTAGGGCCCTCCATTTATTTGGAAAAATATCAAGTCGCACACCGAAAATTGGACGAGGAGCTCGGTCGAAAATCCCTTCAGTGGTAAGGCGCCAATTATATAATAAATAAATACTTATGTAGCTTATAAACTATAACCATATATAATAATAAATTATTATATAATAATTATTATTTTATTATTTTAGTTTTATTTTAATTTGTGTTTTAATTTACTTAATTTAATTTAAATTAAATTAATATTTTTAGTTTTCGTAATAAAATAATTATTATTAATTTCAATTTATTTTATTTTATTTAATATCATTTTTGCTTGTTATTTTATTTTATTTTATTAAATGTTAGTTAACTTTTATTTATTTAATTGTTTTACATTAATTTTTACAATAAATTTTTTTAATTTGTAACACACAATTTATTATAGCTTTATTTTAATTTGTATTTTACTTTACTTTGTATAATACAAATTCAATTAACATTTTTAGTTTTCATAATAAAATAATAATTATTAATTTTATTTTATTTACTTTTATATTGTTTAATTAATTTTTTTTATTTTCATTTTTATTATATAAATTATAATTTTTTTATTTTATTTCAATTTGTTCAATATATTTTTGTTTTATTTCATTTTTAATATTTTATTTCTATTTTATTTTCTTCTTTTTTATTTTATGTGAATTAATTTATATTTATTTCCATTAATAAATTTTTTAATTTGTCCAATTTAATTTAGTTTTATTCTACTTTATTTAATTTAACTTAATTTAGTATTTTTAATTTACTATAAAATATATTATTTTTATTAATTTATATTTTACTTATTTTTTTATGGTTTAATTAATTTTTTTTTAATTTTTTTTTAAAATTTAATGTTTTGATTAAATTTAAATGAATTATATATCTATATTTTATATTTTTTATATTTTTATAATTTTTTTCTTTCTAATGCCTTTTATTCAATATTTTTTGTAGTTCCGTTAATTTTTTTATTTTCAATTTTATAAGTTTAATATTTGATTTCAATATTTTTATTTTTTTATTTTAATTTATTCGTTTTCTTCTATTTTGTTTAATAATTACAATATTTTCTCTTAATTTATTTTATGTGATTTATAATTATTTTTATTATAAAATCTTTTTAATTTGTTATTTCGATTTAATTTAGTATTATTCTACTCTATTCAATTTAAATTAATTAAGTATTTTTAATTCATTATAAAATATTCAATTTAATTTAATTAAATATTTTTAATTCATTATAAAATATATTATTTTTATTAGTTTATATTTTGTTTATTTTGTTTATTGGTTTAGTATTTTTTTTTACTTTTTTTTTAAATGTAATATTTTCATTAAATTTAATTAAATTAAATATTTATATTTTTATATGAATTAAATTATTTTTTTATGCTTTTATAATTTTTTATTTTTATTAATTTTTATTTAACTTTTTTTTGTAGTTCAAATAATTTTTTTATTTGCAATTTTATAAATTTAATGTTTCAATTTAATATTTGCATTTTATTTTATTTTAATTTATTTTAATTTCCTCTATTTATTCAAACACGCAATACCAACATAAATATTTAGAACATTGCACCACTCGAAGCCCACAAATATCAAGCGCTAATTCCGTTAATGGCTGAGCAATAAATATGGTCATTAAGATGAGAAAGATTTTCTAAAGATAATTAAATATTTATTGACTGCTAGTCAATCAAGTGTGGAAAACGAAATCTGCAATCTATTAAGACGCTTGAACGAGCTGCTTTTGCCAATTTTCACGCCATTCTTCCTTCTTCTTCTTCTTCTTCTGCTGCTGCTTCTTTTCCTTAAGTATCATGTATACTAAATTCGAAAATGTTTATTTTTCTTTTTACAGAATTCATGGAGATGATGACTGGAGATTAGAATTTCTCGCAACTACAACTACAATTACAATTACGCGTACCTATCATCTACATGCATACATAATGAAGTATAGAAATGCATATATGTATATATGTGTAAATACATATTTAATGCAGTTAAAATTAAATGAAGCGAAGACTAAAACTGAGGAAACTGCTTTGGCTACGACAACAACAACAGCCATATGGAAAAAATAAAAATTAAATTAATAAATACACGCTTATACATATACATATATGAATTGTAATGGATCGATATGTTGTTTTCGTTGTTGTTTTCTTTATTTTTGTTTTTCTGTTTTTTGTTTTGTCTTCACAAATATGTGTATTAAAATGAAATTAATTTTACAAGTGTATAAATATATTTATTTGAATATTTAAAATATTATAGGTCTTACAATTGCATATGTACATACATACATATGTATGATTGTATGTGCGTATGTAATATTAATAAAAATGATCCAAAAACATTTCGTAGCAGTTCATTTAAGCGGATTAACGTGTGCATTGCGCACCAAGGTGGGTGGATAATTAATTACTAAATTTATTAATTTGTGTTGTTGGTTCTGAGACATGCGCTTGTTTTTGAGAAAATTACAATTGCAAATATTTAAAGTTCCATTAGTGCTTTATATTAAATGATGCTTTATGGTTTTTACCGAAATAAAAAAATTTTGAATACTTCTTAGAAATGAAGAGCTTATTAGATATATATAATATATATATATATATATATATTTGTATAGATATGTATGTTTGAAAGGTATCATTACAAAATAAATTCCTGAACTAAAAAAAATGCCAAAAATTTTTAATAATTATTTATTTATGTAGAAAATTCTTTATATTTATAATACAAAAAATTTCGTTATATACTTTTGCCGACTCCTCATTCATTGAAATCGCTTTAAAATTACCGGAAATACACACCTGAAAAATAAATGAAATCAAAAGCTGCGCAGATCACCCTGTGAACGAATGTCACGCCCCAAAGTATGCAACGTTTTCGATAAGATCTGTACAACTCAACTCAACATCTGCTGCTAAAATTACTGCATAGCAGCGGGTTGTTACTTTTATGCGTGCCTGGTATTTTCTGAAATTGCGGCAGGTCGTGTATAAATTTCCAATTCATTCACAATGGAGGAGGTTAGCAATTCCCACTCACCAGTAGTAAATTACGCTTTAAAATGACGTATGAGGCGGATTGTTCATATATATATGAAATGTAATGATTTTTGAATTTTATAGCGGAATTAGTTGAAACTTGTTTGTCTAATTACCTGAAGTCAGGCATAGAAAAAATTTTGCTTGTTTAAAAGAAAAAAGTTTTATTCCATTTATTTTTTATTTAAAAACCGGTTTTAATCATTTCAGCAAACTTTTGTGCTTGAAAGCTTGTTTTGAATATCAAAAATATAACAAACAATAAACTGAAAAACCATAATTTCACAAATAAATTTCCCAAAATGGAGAGTTTCCCGTGCACCGGGCTTCCACGTTTTCTCAATTCAACGTTTCGTCTGCATTGCTTCTACAGAATACCTAAACACAGACGAAGCGATGAAAGTGATGATGCAAATTGACGATCGTCAGCGATGACATAGACGATATTCAGCATGAGGCCGAATATTAGGTCCAGTAAAAAGTTCATTTGGTTTTTGTCTAAGAGATGGCGTTATTCTCCATAGTACTAGTGTTACGTGTCGCATCATGCCATACTATGCGGCGCTGATAACGTGTTTATTTGCGCTAAAATTTTGTCCTTGACTGTTCTTCGATTGATTGACTCAGTACGTTGTGAGCGCTCGTCAAAGATGGACACCAGTAAAGAGAAAATTCGCTATATTTTACAATTTCTCTTCGATCAAGGCGAAAAAGCAGCCAAAGCGACTGGAAAAATTAATTTAGTTCATGGGCCCGATACTCTAAACGAACGTGTAGCACAAAAGTGGTTTGTTAGGTTCCATTCCGGTAATTTCGATGTCAAAGATGCACCAGGTTTTGTTGTGTGTTTGGTGGGATTGCCAAGGAATCATCTATGGTCTATATGGACAATCGCTGTGCCAACAACTAGACCGCTTGAAGGCAGCACTCATCCAGAAGAGGCCAACTTTGATCAACAGAGGCTGAATTGTGTTCCATCAGGACAACGCCAGGACACACACGTCTTTGGTGACGCGTCAGAAACTCCAGGAGCTCGAATGGGAGGTCCTAATGCACCCAACTTATAGTCCAGGCCTGGCATCAAGTAATTACCATCTTCTCCTGTCCATAGCGTTAATGGTGAGAAGTTGAAAATTAGCTCTACGAGTTTTTTGCCAATAGGGACGCAGCCTTCTATGAGAAAGGTATAATGAAGTTGGCATCTCGTTGGCAACAAGTTTACGAACAAAACGGCGCATTGACTTAAATCGGACAAATGTACATAAAGTTATCATATGTTGAAAAATCAATACAAAAAACCGAACGAACTTACGACCTATTATTAATGACGAATACTCAGCTCATTTTCTAATTCGGTATGTAGTAATAACCCAGGGCCACTTCTGAGCTGTAGAGCGGGTGATTCAAAATATTGTAGCCCACCTTAAGCAGCGCATACTTCATGGCCTTAACCACCACTGAATCAAAAGCATTTGACACCATCAACCATTTACTGCTACTATCGTAAATTGAGAACTCCGAATTACCGCCGGGATTGAAGAGGTGGACTATGTGGTCGGTACACGGAGAGGTCGAGGGTCAAACTTCCAAACTCCTTTAGATTAAATAAGGTATTCCACAGGCAGGTGTCCTCTCCCCACTTCTGTATAATTTATACAATACATATAGAAGCTCTCACCAACGGGGGCATTTCATTGATCTCATATGTCGATGCCGGCTATATCGAGCGTCTGTTCAGGATATTGATAGCTTATATTCGAAATTAAACTGCTTTCTCTCGCCGACCATTCCCACTTCTTCACTACATGACACCTACAGCTACAATCTACGAAATACTCAGCTACCCTCTTCAACAACGCCGGCTCGGACGGTGCATTACTTGCACAGTGAAGCATTGCCATGAGTTAAGGCGCCTTTTGTTATGCTGTGCAAGCAATAACTGACATTTACTTGAGGCTGAACCTACTCCCAGCCTACGCCTACCTACGCAGACTTTACTCAGCACCATTTACAAGAATCGTCGCGCAAGATGGTGCACAGACTCTAAACATCATTCATTGAGAGTTCGTCTACACCCACATGAATGTCTATTACAGATTTATTACAGTGAATAGCTTTCTCGGAATTCAAGCACCACCTATTGCAGACGAAGAGCTCGAGCTGCCTTGAGGGAACCGAGTAATGGTGGAACAATCAATCAATAAGATCTGGATATTTTAGTCCTCTTCATTCCTTGATATCCAGACTTGACCACGACACACCCAACTTATCTCCCGCATGTAATGAGAGCACGCACAGCAGCACTAATCACCTCTGTGCAAGCGTCTTAAAACGTACATTTAACCTCACTTTCCCCCTGGTATGAAACCGTCCAAACTGACTGTGCTTCCTGGACCTACCGTTGGATAACCGCGATGTTCTAGATTAGTCTCATCTGCTTTTAAGGAGGGTGTTGCTAAATGACTACACCAACAACGCTGTAGTACTCTTTTTTTAAGTTGGCATAAAAAGGACACTCCAATGTCATTTTATTTTTTTCTCTAACATTTTTCTTTTTTTTCATTAAATAAATTAAAATTATTAAAAACACAGATTTTTTTGTTGTCATTTTTTTGTGTGGTTATTTTTATTATTGTAATTTTTTTTTTTTGAATTGAAATCAACTTAACAGCTAATTTGTTAAATTTTAAATAAATACAGAATACTAATGTACATATTTTTTAATTTAACGATATTTTTTAATCATTGTACAGTTAAATTCAGTTAATTTATATTTATTTTATTATTTTAGTTTATTTAAATTTTTATTTAATTTAATTTTAATCAAATCATTTTTTTTTAAATTTTATTTAATTAATTTTAATTAATTAATTTTGCATTTAAGTAATGCGAAATTGTTTCAATTTCTTTAAATAAAAGTAACTGTAAATGTTTCGTGGGCACTTAAGAATTATGCATAAATATTCTACATCCGTTATGTATGTATCTATGTATTAATAATATATTTATTTGTATTTTGTTATGCTATTCGTAAATTTATGAACCGCTACAATGTCTACTAAAAATACTCATTCATACATGTATGTGTGCATAATTTTTTTATTCTATTCTTCAATGTATTCTTGTATTTACAGAATATCCTTTAATAGCCAATGCATATATATGATAATTTGTATATAATATATATTATAACATATATGTATGTATATCTGTTTATGCAAAAATAATTTTAACTGATAGTAGTAATAATATATTTAAATAGTTTACTTTTTGTTTTATTTTTTAATAATTTTATAATTTTTTTTTCCTTTTAATTTATATTTTTTTTTAATTTAATTCAATTTTTTTTATAAATATATTGTATATGTTATTATGTATTTGTACGTAGCTATGTATATAACTACTTCCACCTCTTTTAGTTGATTTTATTTAATTACAATTTCAATGTCGTTAATTCAAATATAATTGAATTAAAAACAGGAAAAAATAATATTTACAGAAATTCTATAATCTATAATATATACTTAATTTAAGACAAATTATTTAACTATAATTATTTATTTTAAGTTTTTTATTTAATTTTTTAATTTTTTTTTTAACAAAGGAAAGGCATTTAATTTGACATACATATGCATTATTACCAAATGCCACTGAAATCTAAAAGCGAAAAATAATTTTTAACATTTTTATATCCTTTTTATGGTAATAGTTTTTGTTTGCTCAGTGAGTACTTTTAATGTAACCCTTGCATTGCATTTTATCGTTGTCCTTGATTACTTTACTCTTTCTACTTTAGTTTTAATATTTTGATTTGAAGGCGCATTCAGTTTTTAGTTTTTAATTTTTGTAAAATTCTCCCAAAAAAATTCTATGCAAAATAAGGCAGTTATTGGCTATTTTGTTGTTTTAAGCTTAATTATTTATATACTTTTTCTGTTGTATTTTGTTTCTAATGTTTATTTATTAATTTTTTTTTATTTAGTTCTAGTCCGGTATATTTAGCATTTCTCGTTTATTGTACTCGCCTCAGCTATTGCCTGTTATTTTGGTTGTATTTCCAAATATTTGTAGTTTTATTATATATTTTTTATTTATTTTTTTATTATCAAAAAATAATTTTCGTTGTTTAGTAATTTTTTATTGTTTTCAAAATCATTTTCAATAAATCTCTTTATTTAATAAGCGAAAACAAATTTAAAAAAAATTAAGTCTGTTAGAAATAAATGTTTGCAACGGTTCTAGTTTTTGGCACTCTAAGGAAACGACCCCAGATCCATTTGAAGAAGAAGAAATGAGGAAATTTTTTGATTCCTCAAAGATGTTGTTACGTATTCAACTACACTTTTATAACGAAATTTGATTTATTTTGCATTCTATTTCATTTAATTTTATTTCACTTTGTTTTTCTGTAATATAAATTATAAATTATAAAATACAATTACTAATTATATTATTAAATATAATTGGTTTTATTATTAAATTTTATTTGAATCCAATTTATTTCTTTATTTTCATTTTATTTGATTTCCCCGATTTTATTTTATTTAAATTTTACTATTTTGTTTTACTTTTTTTGGTTTTTATAATTTTATGCCAATGTTTAATTTTATTTAATTCTTTTTATTTAATTTTATTTCATTTGATTTTACTTAACTTTATGTTAAATTATTTTCTTATCTTTTCTTGCTTTTGTTATTCTAATAAAATCATTTTAGAACGAATTTTTAATTCTTATTTTGTTACCCATTTTTTTTTTCCAATTTCATTTGAATTGATTCATTTGAAATTGTTTTATTTTATTTACATTTAAATTTTATTTAATTTTGGTTTATCCTGAATTTAATTTCTTAAATTGAAATAAATTTATTACCTGTTTTTAATTATTTTCTATTTAATTTGATTTGATTTTATATCGGTTTATTTTAATTTTCTCTGCTTTTTACCTAATTTACTCTTTACTATTTATTTTAATATTCTTTTGGTTTCCTTTTTTTTCATTTCAGTTGAGTGTATTTTAATTTATGTTGTTTTATTATATTTTATTTTATTTGATTTAATTTAATTTTTCATTTTATATTATATTACTTTGGTTTTTTTTTTATTTTTTATGTTTTAATATATTTTTTTTATTTATTTGTCTATATTTAACTTTATTTTAAATTTCTTTATTTATTTCATTTTATTCTGTTTTCTTCATTTTATTTTTCTTACTACTCCATTTTTTTATGTTGGTATATTACATTATGTCATCTTTTCTAATTTATTTATGTTATTCTAGTTTAATTAATTTTAGTTATTTTTTATTTAAATTTATTTTTGTTTAATATTTTATATTATTTAATCAGAATTCATATATTATTTCATTCCGTATCGTTTCATTTACTTTTCTTTTATTTCTTATATTAAAAAAATATTTTTTTAACATTTAATTTTATGTTAAATTAAATTAATTTTAGGATTTTATTTTATTTTAATTTTTTAGTAATTCATATAATTTAATTTAATTTTATTTCAAAAAATATAATTCAATTTTAATGCAAATAATTTCTTTTGATTTTAATATTTTTATTTTATTTAACTGTATCTATTTTTTTTGACTTATTTTCTTTATATTATCAGCTTTTTTTTCAATTATTTTGTTACATTTATTATTAAATTTTCTTACTGCCCTTAATTAATTTTAACCAAATCTTTTATATTTTTGTTTTATTCGATTTTCATTTTTATTTTATTTTTTTAATTTTATTTTTTTATTGTTTGATTTTACATTTCAAAAACCCAAAGGAAAATTAAATGCTATAATATTTAATAATTATTTAAATTAAATTCTATGTCATTTAGTTTTTTTTTGCTATTCTAATTCATTTTGTCAAATTTCATCATTTTTTTTAATATTTTATTTAATTTTTTAATTGTATTCTTTTAACATATTAGTTTATTTTTTATTTTTTGTTTGATATTTACTTTTATTTACTTTTCATTTCATTTTTTATTGATTTTCTTTTGCTTCTTTATTACTAATTTTTTTATTTTTTTATATATTTTTTTTTAATGTTTTATGTTAGTTTAATTCAATTATATTTTTTTTGATATTAGTTTTTAAGATTTTATTTTAATTGAATTAAATTTTTTTTTATTTTACCTTTAGTTTGCTTTAATTCATTTTGGATTTTATTTTGTAATTGTTTTTATTTATTTAAATTTATTTGTCTTATTTTTTAGGCATTTAATTCATATATATATATATATATATATATATATATACAATATATATATTATTTCAATATTATATATTAATTAAAATTTTTTATATTTAATTTTTATATAATTTTATTTAATATATTTATATTTATTTATTTTATATTTAACATTATTATTACATTTTATTTATTTTCTTTTTATTTTTTATATTTTTTATGTCTTTATTTTACTAAATTCTTTTAATATTTATAAATTTTATTTTTGAATATGTCTTTTTTTTTAATTATATACTTGTATATATATTATTAATTTTATTCTTTACTTTACTTAATTTTGTTTAAAGTTTTAAATATTTTGTTTTTCAATATTTTAGGTTAATTAAATTAAATACATTTTATTTACTATTATTTGTTTTTCTTTTAATTCCTTATTTATTTTCATTTGCTTTTTTATTTTTTTTCCTTTTTATTTTACTTATTTTTAAAAAAATTTTGAATATTTTATTTTTTACTGTTTTATGTTAGTTTAATTCAATTTTATTTTACTTATATCAGGCAATGCTTCGGTTAGGTTATCCAGCTGGCTCAAAAAAATATTGGAAGGCAACCTACATATATATTCGAAAATTATATGAGAAATTTAATAAAATTCTATATAAAACTGTTTACTTTCCGTTTTTATTTGTATTTACATTTTTTATATGTACTTCAGCTGCAAACTGACTTATTTATGTTTTTATTATATTATTATATATATATTTTTTAATTAATTAATTAATTGCTGGCACACTTTTGCTTATACTTGTCAGTTTTGACATTATTTAAATATTTAAGTTTTATATAACTTTTTTTTTAATAGTTAACAGTTAGTGTAGTTTGTTTTTGCTGTAAAAAAGCAATAAAAGGCAACTTTAACAACCAGTTCAAGGCCATAATTAGTTTAATTTTTTTCTTATTTTTTTTTTTAAATTGTGCAAATAATAATATTTTAATTTTTTTGAATGGAAAATTAATAAAGGAAAAAATGATTTTACATTTTATACACGAATATGTGCAAGCCTCAACTATACTTACGCGCAATAATTTTTAGCATCAAAATAAAATATATTAAAAAAAAAAATATTTACACCAACAATTATTTTTACAAATTTCACAATTATTAAGAAAAAAAAATAAATTTAGTTTTATGCTAGTAAAAAACATCAACAAATGTTGGCAACCATCAAGTAAGTAGTTCAGTGTATAATACAAAGTGTATGGGCTGAGTGGAAAAAAACAAGAAAAAACTCTTAACGTTTTTAAATAATATTAATAATTTTAAATTAAAAAAAATCGTTAAATTAAAAAAATTTACATACTAAACTTTTAGTACAAGCAAAAAAAAAAATAAAATAATGTAAACAGATTTAAATTGAAAACATAAAAAATTATTAGAAGACAAAGTTATTTCAATTATTTTCAATCCAAAAATATTTGAAATAAAAAATACACAAATAATTTTAAAACAAAAAACAACGAAAAGCACTTCCAAAAATCGAAAAAGAAATGAAAACGCGTAATTTTTTTCTTAACACTTTTATTTAATTTTCTTTTTCAAACGGAGCTAAAAATAGATAGTTAATTTAAAATAAAAAATATTCTATGTATTTTCAATTAAATTACAATTATTTTAAGCAAACATGTCTTGCTTGCAGCTCTTAGAGCATATATTTCAGTACGAAAAAGCTGCCTTCGCTTATATTGAATATTTTTCGAATCAAACGCGGACAGACCAAAGTCAACAGCAATAATAATTATTTGAAAAAAAAGAAAACATAAAATGTTAATGAAAATATATAAAGCGTGTGGCTATACTATATAAACAAAACTACCAGCTACATACTAAAATTAATATTAAGACTATTGGCTTAATTACGTTGCTTATGAAATAAAATTAGTATTAAAAAAAAAACTTTTATGACGAACAATTAAAATTACGCTTAAAAGTCTAACTTAAATTTATCGAAAAAAAAAACACATCACTTAAAGTATTAAACTGCCAGGTGTACCTTTAGACACTACCTGCTTACTCGCACCCACAAGGGAGCTGTGACTTTCTCACTTCCCAAGCCCTACTGCAGTCGCCCGAGCGTCTTTTTAACGCGTAACGCCGTCAGCCGTACCGTCGGATTCGGATGCCAACACTCCTGCATGATCTTCGACATGGTCGCCAAGACATCGTCGTCCTGCCAGCGCAACGGCACTGGCGGTCGGAAGCCTTTAATGCACACCACATCGTACATATCATCGAATGTGGGATCGGCCGGCACAACATCATGATAGGGCAAGGCGTAATCTTCGCATGTGGTCGTATTGGCGCCGGGCACTTGTGTGTAGCAGCGTCGCGACATTTCCCAAAACACCAAACCCACCGAATACATATCGGCGCGTTTGAATTCCTCAAATTGTTGCTGATTCAATGATTGATTCAACATTTCCGGTGCCATATAACGTGGTGTGCTGACGCGTGCGTTTTGTGCAATTTGTATTTCATCCATTTCCGAGGTGTACTTAACAGCCAAACCGAAATCGGCAATAGCCACTTGACCATTACGTTTAACAAGTATATTATTACTCTTGATATCGCGATGTGCAATGGCCGGTTTGCCGGGTGTGCCGACAATCTCATCGTGTAGATGTGCTAAGCCCGAGGCCAGGGAGTAGGCCATTAGTTGGAGTTTTTGCGGTGTAATCACCGAAGTGCGTAGATAATCGTGTAGGCTGCCATGTTCGTGGAAATCGGTGATGAGCATCATTTGCGTATGACTGCCCATGTGCTTAATGTCGGCCGCAATGAAACCCAAAATGTTCTCGTGACGAATCAATACAGTTTGATAGATTTCAGTTTCACGGAACCAAGAAGATTCTTCGGTGCGAAAGAAGATCTTAACGGCAACATGTTCATCACGCCATTTTGCTAAGAAAACTTCACCATAACGTCCCTTACCCACCGAACGCACCATTTGTATTTGCTTGGCGATTGTACGTTGCACCAAAAGTGGCAGTCCAGAGCCGGAGCCGGTACTTTGGCCGACTAATTGTGATAGCGGTGATATTTGACTGTTGCACATAGAGCTGATGAGACGTGGTTGTTTGCCCTGTTTCTCGCGACGTCGATACATTACGCAGAATATCAGCAGCACCACGACAAATATCGTTAGGCAGACGATGAGGGAGGTCAAGACGAGCAGGTAATGTATGGATTGTGAACTCACTGGCAACTCTGGCGGGGTGGTTGTGCTCTTCGGCGTATATTCGGGGTGTATATTACGATTACAGAAATCGGCCGAATCACAACAGACGATATTCTTGCCATGCAGGTGTGGTACAGCGGCAACTTTGCACTGTAAAATGTAGAAAGAAAGACATTTTTTTTATTAGTTTCCGAACTTCCGAATCGATCTTTCTCGTCTACCTACCATTAACAGTCCGCCATTCTCTTCTGGCGGCATGCAGCCATATGTCCGTTCCTCTTCGTATGTGCCTGTGATTTCATCGTAAACTTCTTCGACTGCACTAAAACAGGAACCTCCGGGGCGGGTTTCACATGTGCCATTAATAACATTGTCCGGGCAACTGCCATCGCAATAACAACTCAGTGTGCGGGCTGGAAAGAGAGAAATAAAGGTTGCGAGGTTAGTGAATGAAGAAAGTAATTGGATGGGGTTATGAGTGGAATTCATAGAGAATATTTTTATATTAATGTTAGGTTTTAAGAAATCGTGGTACATGCTTGTGAGAAGGCCAGTTACACCTTGGAACCCGATCCATGAGCAATTTTACTCTTTGGCTGCTCAAAATCAAAGATGTGGGGTATTATATACATTCATGTGGTTATCAGAAAAGCTAGGTCTTCGAAAATGTCGAGGTTAGATAACCAGTGACTCTTCTAAGCATCTTCAGAAGTATGGTCAATTAAGACCTATCGACAAACAATTCGCTCAGTCTTCTTTTTGATGCGTCCGTGTACCCAGGCTCCACTAATTATAACCCCATCAGCCGAGACACAGTGATCTATTCAGAAGTGTAATATAAATACTATATACCGTGTTCAAAACTGCCAACAGATCAACACCAAAGCGACTTCTTCATACAAGCTTTTCATACAGCGGAAGCAGGCTGATCGTGGTTCCAAATGAAACATTTAAATGGATTAGTTAAGAGGGGCTCTGTTGACGACCTGATCGCAATCTACTAAGTAGTTAAAGACGAGAGTAGAAGAGGAGATCTTACCTTCGCTTAGATTTGAGTTGGTCATTCGCTCAGTATCTTCAAGCCCCTGTCGAAAATTAGCCAGTGACACAGGTTTTCCACCGGCAGATAGTTGCAACGTTTTCTCAAGAGGAAAGTTACCGCTGTATGGAAAGCCATGAAATCTACGTCTGAGGTAGGTTTCCATACTGTGAATTCCAACTCTCAGTGGCTTATTCCATCAACTTGCTTTAAAATAAAAATCATACGGGTCTCAGGGTCACTGGAAAACTGATGAGGTTACGCTCTGTTACTGCCAGATAAGTGACAGCACTTCTACGTCCCCGACTGTAAGATACGTTTGGTCCAAGTTGGTATTAATGTATAAGAAGGGGTTCATAGGGTGTCACATAATATGTCCATCTGGGTTCTTCTTCAGATTACCCTAATATAAGTTTATGGCAACACTATGTTTTAATATTTCTACTCAATATTTGTACTCAAGAGTTTTCACATAACTTCAGTTTATTTCTAATGAGGTGGCAACACTCTTAAAATGATGAAAGGGGTTGTCTGGCTCTTATAAGAGTTGAACTCCGTGGGGAAAATTGGACATGGTGTGGAATGACTATTTCTCTTATAGCTTATGAACTCGGGGTTGAGATCCGGTTGAAAAATTGAAGATTGTGCGCGGTAACCCTCCCTCCGATGATTGCAAATGGCGCGTGCTGACCAATCCGTTGTTACGTCGGGAATTGATTGTGAACTGAGGTTCCTCAAAAATGATGGAGCCAGAGAGTGATCCAAGTGGTTTTGGTAAGCCAAGTTCTTACCATTTAGGAAAAGTAGTGCTTCAGCCGTTCCTGATACTGTTCAGCGTTTAGGCAAGCAAAAGGACCAGCTTTCGTGCGTCTTACCAAGCACCTCATTTTTAGCACCTATTAGACAATTTTAAGTTTGATGCCTCTCGCTTAAGCACATATTTTAAAATAGGTGGCAACTCCAATCGTAAACAAATTTGATACAACTTTTTTTAAGAACTCCGAAGTAAGATTTGATGTGTTTTCAATTAACTTTATGTTTTTTTTTTCTAAAGGTAAACGTTTTTTTAGAAGATGGCAACACTGTTATTGTAGAAATATTTTTGTTTATCCTTTTTTCATATACAATTCTTTTGATATACTTACAAATGCCCACCGTATACCTCGCAAACATATTTAAATTAATTTTACTTTTAGATAGGTGGCAACTCTATCAAAAATAATCAAGCCTAGTAAGAAATCATTCCGTGCTTTTATGGAACTCCAATGAAAGTTTAAAAAAAATCGATTTCGTGGTCTGCTGGCTACATATGTACGTATGTATAAGTATATGTATGTATGTACATATGTATATTGTTTAAAGAAAAGCTGCTTAAATAGTTGTAAACTTCCTAAAGCTATTGGGATAATATTTGGGGCCAATAAGGAAATGAAAATTGCTTTTGTAAAAGAAACAACTTCAAATCAAACTACTTTCCTGTTAAATACATACGCACGTACATACATACATACAGATGTTGAAAGAACAATTTTCCTCGGTGGCGCTTACGAAAGACAATAAAAATATCAATTTTATTAATAATAACAATTACAATTACACAACTCAATAAAAGAGAAGACAAGATGAGAACGATATGTACATATATATATATGTGAAATGTAGGGAAGTGTGCGGAGTGCAGAAAGAGCAGAGAAGGAGCATAACCAGCAAACGCTTATATTAAATTGTAAATTCCAACAGCGTCTGGAAAGAGAGGAAGAAGAAGTGGGTAAAAGCAATCATGCAACACCAACAACAACAAATGTGCAATAACAATAACAAATCTCTATTAGACAAAGTATGTATTTCAAACGTTTACTGCATTTTGTGTTTGGAATGTATAACTCGAAATATCTACATATTTATATACATACATAAGTATGCATATAAAAATATAAAAACAAATGAATTTAATGAAAAAAAAAAATAAAAAATTTCAGAAATGAAACTAAAAACTCACACCAAAGGAAAGCGTCTTTTGAAGAGAGGAAGCAGTTGTCCACACTGTGGCGCTTCAAAGACCAAACATTTCGGCATAACATACATACATACATATGCTTCTGCATATGCGTATAAATATATGTATGTATGTACACATATATTTTTATTATGCTTGCTTTCTTTGTATGCGCGCCGGCACGCGCATGCACTTTTCATATGGCCATCATCAAGCAAGTTAAGTTTGGCCTGCGGCACGTCTTACTCTGTGGATGACCGACCACGATCACCTAACTATCAGTTTGGTTAGAGTAGCAGCGGACAACTACAACATTGGCGCCACTTGGCTTTTACCGAGACCAGCATTTATAAGTCAACAATAGAGGTATACATATGTAGATATATACAAAGTATGTGTATATATGCAGCATAACTATATACTTACATACATACTTATAAATATAGCGTTGTCGCAGTATATGTATGTATGTACAAGCGTAATAAAGTTTGTCCACTGGACACGTTCGACACAGTTTTTAGACGCTTCTCAAAGCGTATGGGAGCGATTTTCTCTTGGAGTTAATATTTTCTCCGAGAAGTTCAATTTATTTTTTTTTTATTTTTTAGTTTATTTCAGTTTATTGGTTTTTTATTGGTTTTGCCTTTTTTTATTATTTCGATTAATAAATTTTTTTTTGCGTTAGCCTGAAAAACGTTTTTGTTTTGTTCAGTAATTTTTTGTTGGTTTATAAATTTTTATATTTATTTTTTTGCTTTTTTGCTTTTTCTTGTTTATTTTTTTTTTTTTTGTTAATTTTTTGTGTTTATTTTTTAGTTATTTTTTTTTTGTTTACTTTTTTTGTGTATTTTTCATTTTGTGCTTTTTTTTTGTTTATTTTTTGTTTGTTTATTTTTTATTTTGTTTGTTTTTTTTTTGTTTGTTTATTTCTGTGTTAGTACTTTTGTTTTGTTTTTTATTTTATTTTTTTTTTTGTTTATTTTTTTTTTCATTATTTTCTTTATTTTTTTTGTTTATTACTTGTTTATATTTTTGTTTGCTTTTTTTTGTATATTTTTTTTGTTTTCAAATAAAAAACAGTTTTATTTTATTTTTCTTGTATCTAGTTTCTTTGTATGAATTGAATATTCTTTTGTTATACAACAAAGAAAAATAATAGAAGTGACAGCTATTTTGCGGTTTTTGTTTTGTTTCTTTTTAGTTTTTTTTTAAGTTTCTTTTCAAGTTTTTTAAGGACATGATTTAATTAAATGATTAAATGATTCCAAGTTATTTCTACTTTCTTGCGTATGAAAATTAAAATGTTGCCTACATTTAGGAGGCATTGATTTCCGAATGAGGTTTTTTTAATTAAATTTAATATTCCCCATTGTAAATGTTTCTCTTTGTTGATTTGTCTAAAGCTTATACAGAAAAGATTGTAGAAATGGTTAATTCAACTTTTTGGTTCTACAATTTTACGATCTTCAAAATATGTTACTAAAAGGCTTAACAAAGGCCTCAGAACAATTTGATTGGCAGGCTTCAATGAGAGCTACATCGCCTCCATAACCTTTCTTCGTACGATTTTGTTTTGTGGCATGCGCCAGGGCTCAATGGACGAGAAAATTACAAACCAAAAGTTTCTTGTTGCTATCACTACCCCTACTAAGATGAGCAGTAGTGGCCCCTGTCTAAAAATCCAAAAAGGAACTTCAAAGCACGAGAGTTAAAAAGAAATTGTAAGAATCAAAGTGCTCATTGATTTGCTTCAGAAACTGGATGTCGATGGATGGAAGGTCGCCCAAGCAGATGATATAGGGCTCCTTCCTCGATAGGTACCATTCTCAGCCATTTATCAGAGAAATTGAGCACTTAGGGACAATCCTAGACAAGAAGTCTTTGAAGATCGATATCGGAGGGGGAGCAGAAGAAAGCAATGGTAGATTATACTGTTATTAGTTGACGCATTTCTCCTAAAGTAGTGCATGGAGAAAAATATTCTTTAACTTTTTTATGGATAGGTTGAAGGATCGCTGATCGCTGAGTCTCCTGTCGAGCATTATGCATTGGACCAGCATTTAAGCTTCAAGACAATTGTAGTGTTTCAGGCGGAAGTGACTGGTTTATGTGAGATAGGCTAACATTTACTCAGACACCCAATCGACCATTACGGCCTTGGGCTCACTCATGGTGTGCTCCAAAAATGGTGAAGTAATATTTGCCATTTTTGTCTATGGCGTTAATTTCGTTCAGATTTAAAGCCATATTGGCACCCGCTCACTGGGGAGAGGCATTATCCAATGGGATTTCACGGGGTGTCATTTGCCATTTTTCCGATTCTCCACAATCATAGTGGTGGATCAATCGCTTCTACCTAAACCTAAACAAAGCTTCAAATAAAATATGTTTAAATTGCTGAAAACAGACAGGAGAACTATAAATTTTTCAAACCATACGATTTGAAATTTAATCAACCGTTAAAATTTTCAGATTACTTTTTTTTTAACTTTTTCAATTTGTTGTAATTAATTTATTTATAAACATTAATTAAATATTACAGCTCATAAAAATTTATGAATAATTATTATTGTATATTGTTTAAGAAAAAAAAAACATTAAATACTTATATTACATATGTACGTGCGTAAATATGTAGAGAAATATAGTTTTTTAATTGCCTTTCCACATGACCAGCAAATTGATTAACTTGAACTCGTCTGCTTACTCAGAGGAGAAAAAAGTATATAAAAATTGTTTAATTCGAAAAATACTCGAACGTACATACATATAAAAGGGTGTTTTTTTAAACATGTGGTTTTTAAGAAGAAATATAATTAAATATTATGGGCAAGAATTTAGCTTCATTAAATAGATAGGGGTTTTAAAAATGAATTCAGCCAAGTGACAGCCTTGGCTGGCTCGAATGAGTTTTAGCCGAGAGTCCCAGCAATTAAAATCAGGTGTCAGCAATCACGCGTGGAAATTTTCTTCTCGGTCTTCTCTGTGCAGACAAGTGACTTCAAATAACCCCACAAAAAAAAACTAGTCCAGCCTTATTAGATCGCACGATCTTGAAGACCCACGGCACCGAACAATACTATAAAAATAAGTTTCCTTCAATAAATTGTTTGTTTCTTCTGCTGTATGACTTGTGGCGCCAACTTGTTGGAACTAAAGTTCGTCCACCTTAACATCCTCCAAAATTCAGACAGGGAAAAGTCATTAATCATGGTTCTATCACATCTTCCATTGACTGTGTGTGGTCGACTTCATTTTTGAAGCAATGTGAACCAGTGATTTCCTCAGCCATCTCAAAAAAGCCCTGTGGGTTATTATCAACCGAAATAATTTTTATTTTTTTTATTAACGCACCCAGTCAACCAAAGGTGAGGCGCAACGCTGAACAAAATTTAGTTGTAAAAATCGCTATCGGTGGCCAGTTGGTTTTGGACCCAGATGTACAGCGAGCATTTGACGTGCTTGACGATCGTTCGGGTTC